ATATTACAATTAGACCGTTTTGCCACTGGAAAATTCTCGTCTAGTGCAAGCGGGAAGTTGGAGATATAATTGAACTGTAAAAACACGGTACGGACGCCTTTCTTATATGCAATTACAAGACTATTAACTTATAACTTCTCCTCAAGGAATTTTTTCAAGATGGAACGCATTGCTCGGTAGCGTCGCCTCACTTTACATGATTTTAGTACCGTGCTGTTGGTGGAGACATTGAATTTATGGTGGAGGCATCGTGTGTGGATTTGTGGAAGGTAAGATACAATGACACATCGCAATTTTGCTCTTCCGTTAGATGATGGTCATTTAGTCTTTTGCATTTCCGAATGAACGCAGGAGCACAAAAGCGCCATCTACTAATCTTATCTTTAGAGGGAGAAGCGGGAGGGAAATGGTGTGAAAAAAGTACACCTGAGAAAAATCATTAATAATTACCTACCCCTACAATACGATTCGAAAAATTTCCGCATAGAGGACAGGGCCGTCCATTTTTTTGTAATTGGTCGCGTAAAAATGTTAGATTTTAGCTCTCGGGTTTTTTATCTCCCTCCGCTTCGCGTCGGGAGACAACACAACCTCCAGCTAAAAACTAGTACTTATATTTTTCCCTTGTATAATAAATACTTATATTGAAGTAGGTTTAGTTTTTGAAAGCAATGCGGGAGTAGACTTTTGTCAAAGGCCTATAGGTATAGAGAAATTGACGGCTGTCACGCCTATTTGGCCCATCTATTTGGAAACACTCAAAAAGCAAGAAATTGGCACCCAACCTACAAATTTGATTGCCGACTGGTTCAGGTCTTACACATGAAAACTAGAGGGAGAATCTGGGGGGCAAGCTCTGCCAACATCTGCAACCGTGGTGCAGGACGAGCGAACTCTTAAAGTTCTTAAAGATTTTTAAACACACTTTCCAACTTATAGAAGTTCTCAAGTGTTCTTAGAAGCTGTTAAAAAATGTTTAAGAACCTTCAGAATTTTAGAGATCCGTTGAGACTTTTAAACACGTAAACCATTTAGAGACTCCTAAATGCCCTTAACGATTCTTTAAGCTTAAATACTTTAAACCGTATTAAAAAGACCCTTTCAGCTTTTTGTAGACTCTTGACAACCTTCGAAAATGCGAGGAAAATCTGTATATACTGATTGAGGTTTTTAAAAACTCTACGAGTTTAAGGACTAAAAACCTCTAGCTAGAGGCTCTTAAGCTACCGACTGGCAACTAGTGGTGATACAGGTGAGATAAATGTGGAAAGAAGTTAATGTAGGTATTTTGGGTTTTTAGAAACATATCACTACATATCTCGCAGAGACCATTTTTAAAAATAAGTTGTTAGTCAATGTATATCTACAACTTAACGATATATTACTTATTTATTTCAATACCCGTAGACACATTATGACCTTTTTTTCATAAGGGCTTGCCTGTATCTATCAGTCATGTTTATGTCCATTACTGAAACTGTCTAGTAGAGTCTTATACACAGTGGTAACATGCTGCAAACGCTTTTGCCCCCATGTGCCCAGATAATTAAAATAGCAGACATAATAATTATCGTCAAATTGATATTGTAAACATTACGAAATTTTCTATATATAATTTAGGAAGAAAGTTACTTAACTTCTGATAACACTAATTTCATCTTTATATGCGCCTATTGCGTTTTTGGAAATTGGACTATTATACATTAACAATGCATTTCCAGAATAAAATTGGGGAAGTGTATGCGTAATTTGGAATGAATATAAAGGACATACCTCATAAAATTCAATGAATTCATAAAAAGTCGAGCTTGACAATTGAAAGGAAAAATAGGTCATTATCCGTAACTGAGGACAGACGAGCGTAAGGAAAATGTAAACATGTAACGAAATGTTGAACTTAAAAGACGTCAGCGAACTACCTACGTTTTTCAATGACATTGAGCAGTAGAGAAGTGTAAACTTTAATTACCTACCTACATTTCGTGATGTAAATGCTAATAATTATGTTATAAATTTGCTACGGGATTTCATTTTTATTGCTTAAGTCAGTCAGACGCTGGGGCTTGGGGATTACTTCATCACGCAGCAGTCACTGAGGTAATGATTTTGAAAATGCAAAATTTTGAAAATCATGAATAAGTATGCGCTATGTGATAACAATTTCGCATAGGTACGTACTTTATCTAGGTAAATATAGAACACTAAATAAACACTACATCAGTGACACAATTTTGAGTTTCTAGTTGAATGATTTTTGGTAAGAACTAGAACGCGGTATCGAGAGTATTGCACAAACATTCAAATGGCAAAGAACGTGAAAATGAGGGTAATCCAGCGTTTTAATAACACTATTTTATACACACCATAAGATGAAAAGTAAAACTAGGGCTTTCGTGCACACAAATAACACAGACACACATACACTCCATATAAACCTTACTAATTCAATATTACATTACTGTGCATTATTGGTTAATGGCACACATTTTATTTAATTGGCGCATGCGTTACTTAAATTAAGTCGTTTAAAATATAAAGTAAATATCAGAATTCGTCAGTTACTTCAAATGCGTGTCCGCCTTTGCACCGAGCTAAAGGTTATCGAGTACATGTCAACTTTCTGCACGTGCGACCGATTCATTCGTAAACATTGCACTCACCTCACCATTGAGTTGGATGATTGGGCTGAGCAGTCTTTCAGATTGGATTGACCCTCTTGCGCTGCAAGGATATTCGCGGGAGGAATTTGGAATACATTTTGGAATGTGCAACACCCAAAATACTGGTCTCTGGGGAAGTGTTCTTCGTCTTCTAGGTTTATAAACAAAGTAGTCTCAAATTATCAAAATAAATATAAAAATATGCGTTTCAAAGATGTTCGACCTCGGCACCTATAGTTACTACCTATTTACTATCTAAACAAGAAAACTGCTACTCTCTACGTTTTCCACTCGTGTGCACGTTATCTAATTTCTAGAAGTGAGATAGGATAGGTAAAGGAACAGTTTCAGCGAAACTTATTTCTGAGGATTAGGAGAAAATGACTAGGTACATAGTCAGCAGATGGAGACTGTAAAAATGCATTAGGTCTGCTACTACGACTATCGTCGTTTATGTTGTATGCACACTAAATAAAAATGATACCTACACAACTTTTTTCCCATACCGTGTTTTTTTAAAATAAATTTGTCCGTCTATTACTCTGGCCTTCCTACACTTCTGATAATCTTCATGTTTTATTATCTCCGACCTGGACCTCTTATTCTGTCGTCTTCATTCTTTCTGTATAGGTACCAATTCTGCTATAGTCTTCCATTCTTCTTATCTATTCCAATTGGCATGTTAATTGGTTACGAATTTCGTTCAAGCAGAAAAGACAACGGTATGTCAGGATCATCATTACTCGGGAGCGCAAGGGGTTCAGTTCAGAGCACCCGGGCGCAGGACCTAAGGGGGCAAGTTCTTTTAATGGTACAACATATTATCAAAAACTAACATTGTAAGAAAAAATTTTCAACAATCAGACGCCATTTTGTCAGAGGCTACCCAATTAATCGAAATTAACAGATGCAGCACTAATTGGGCAATTGCTATTTTGGTTCAAAATTAATTGCTGAGGACTTTAGTGTGAAACTGAATTCATCCAACACGTCTACGAAAACACCTGTGTGCAGAGCAGCCAGTTTTCAGCAGCTAACTTGCCGAAGACGCCCGACGTCCAGTGGCTATAATTGTTAGCAGTATATATAGCTATTCATTTAGCAACAGTTAAAAGGTGTAATTCTCCCGTAACGTTATTTATATAATTTTCTACAGCCTAGAAAATTGGCATTCATTTAGCGACCGTCTGAAGGGATGAAATCCGCCCTTAACGTAGAAAAATATTGGTTTAAACCACACGCAAAAAAGGTTTCAAATTTTCATGCTTGTCAAAACGTTAGTATTCACATTTTGTACTACCCAAAAAATTGGGATTCGTTTAGCGACCGTCTGAGGGGGTGAAATCTGCCATTAACGTACAAAAAATCGTTTAACCCCCTCGCAAAAAATTTTTCAAATTTTCATGTCTGTCAAAACGTTAAGATTCATATTTTATAGGTACCATCCAAAAAATTGGCATTCATTTAGCGACCGTTTGAGGGGTAATCTGCGCGTAAAATTCGTTTAACACCCACACAAAAAAGGTTTCAAATTCTCTTGCTTTAATAATAATAATAATATATATTGACTGCATACTTGTAACAAAATTAGGTGGTAGGAAATATGAATCCAGGCAAGAGAATTTGGAACCTTTTTTGCGTGAGGTTAGAAGAATTTTTTTTAGGTTAGGGGCGGATTCCACCCTCGGACTGACGGACTGAATAGCCATATCCCTATAATATTATTTACATTTTGCATTAGATTTTGATAAGCATCTGTTTATTTAAAACATATGGCGTGCTATTTTTTGTGTAGGTACTAGTCTATTGTTTAGTTATAATGTGTGTTAGGCCTTTATTTTTATTAAGAATTTATTTATGCGTTCATGAGAGAAGAGATTATCTAGTGTTGCACTGCATGATTATGTTAATCGTCTATACCGTGGAAAAAGCGCCTAATGCAGTTTCGATTCTTCTCTGTATCTCTTCCTTTCTTATCTCGGGTCCGCTGCCGGATGGCGCGTAAGCATTACGAGAAGGGATGTCTCTAATTAACTTTTTTTGTTTAGTATATCTAATTGTCTATGTGTCTGTGAGATAATCTAGTTTGATACTGCTTGCAGTAGTACCTATAGCCAATGCGGGAACAGATCCATGTATGCGTACAACCTCTTCCACTCCAATACCATTCTCACACGGTGCATCCTGTTTCATAATGAAATGAAAATTGATTTAAAAATATCATTTAAATGGTTTAATTGTAGCCAAGATGGAAATGGGGATTTCGGAAACCTTAAAAGTTAAAAATCCGTATGGTATTGTAAGTTTCTTTACGCCATTTTGTAGAACTATAAAACTGACAATGTGAAAGTGTCTTTTATATCTTTATTTATATTAAAAATGTACAAATAATAATAACGAAATTAGGTATTTCGTGTGTATCATGGACACATGCTCAGTATAAGATATTTGATAATATTTTTATAAAATGTTTATTTCATGCTCAATTATTCTTTTAAATCGTTATTCGTTACATATGGTTACTATTTCAATTCAAATTGGCGTTTCATAGACAAGTAAACACATGTGATGTCCATATTCATCGCAAATTGCTTTCAATAGTTTATCTTTCGTTAATACTGTACCTATATACTGTCAATTTACTTTTTGCGCGATCGGTCATTTCTGACTATTTACCATGTGTGTTTCCATGACAGTACGTAGCATTTACCAGTTGCTATGATTACGACGACGCCCAAATTACTTACCGATCTAAAAACAGAACAGCAAAAATACTTACCGACGCCTTTTTAAAAATCAACAGTCTTACATTACATTTAATCTTTAATTATTGTTAGGTACATTAAACGTACAATTTGTGCTGTTGTTTCCTATAGAAAGACGCTCATAAAGTCATAAAGGAAATGCAAAGCTAGCAAACTACATCAGACACATGCACAATTTTATGAAATTATTAATTTCAATTTTGACAAATAAACTGGTTACCTAGTGATGTACACCATACCACTTCGATCATTTCGATTTATTCTGCTCGTTAATTTCTTAGTGCATATTTATATTGGTTGCATAATTTTAATTTCGATCGCGCAAAAAATGTTATAAGCACGTCGAACGTTAAGGGTTACCGTTCTCAGACAATAATTGGAGTCGTCGCTTCGCTCCTCCTCCAAACAATAATTGTCTTCGAACGGTAAAAATCCCTTACCGTTCTCCATACTTAATATACTATTATTGGTTTCTTTCCATTGATTATACACGTTAGTGTGTACAATAAATGCTTCTTTCTTTGAACAGAATGAGTATAGGCAACTCACCGTACACTACAATCACTTCATGAATCATGATTCACATTGCCCCTGTACTCCATTAATAGGGATTTTAATTGTTCTTTTTACAACATTGGTATTGCCAGAACTGGAATTTTGGTCTGGGGATTTCAAATGACATGACATCTCTTTGAGGTTGTGAGATGCGAATGCACTAAACAATTTAAAAATTTCTCAATCTTGTGCAGCGTTAATTAGAATTCATTTCGAAAATGGATTGCGAAGAAGCTGAACTAAAATCTGACTTTTTTCTACGAGAAATTCCCAATGTAAAAATTAGGTAACTACAACAAAACAAAACTAACCTTTTATAATTCCTGTAAAATCGTAGCCAAGAGCGTAAGAAAGAGGTACCAAAGAGTAACGTTAAAGAAGAAATAAAAGTATTACACTTAAGTGACAATTCTCAACAGATGATAATGGAAACATTGAGGTTTATTCACGGCCCTGTAAGTATGAAGCTGCGCTCGAACTCGCTTTCCTTACGTGTTTGTAGGACTACTCTTTGGATGATATTTCAAAGTACAAAGACGAAGACTTGAAATTCACCAATAAGTTTTTGCAACATAATAATTTGGTTGTCAAGGGCGGATTCTATAATACAAATAATGACTCGGACAGCGAACACGAGAAATTAAGAATGTTCGCCCTGTTGAAATTGGAAAGGTTTGTACCTCTTAAATTTGAACTGAAGCGTGGAAAGGTTATGCAAGTTACTTTTTATTATTTACAGTCTGACAGAATACAGACGTAATTCATTTGTGTGAGAGAGCAGGTCTTTTAAGGGAATTTATAGCTCTTCTAGAATTTACTGTGATATTTTTGCAATCCTGTAGGTAATTTCAATTAGCAAAATGAGGGGAGTTTGAACATGCTCATATCGGCAAATGTTTCGTTTGGGAAAGAGTATTCTTATGAAGGTGGATTGTTTAGTTAGACAATACGGTAGACATTTTTAAAAAGCTTGAATAATGTGAAGACTACAGAATGACTTAATTGCCTGGCGTTATTGCCTAGGTATTCACATTTCAATTTTGGGAATTTTTTTCAAATACATTATGTACTGAAGATAGGCAACACACAATGCAATTAGCATAAACTTTTTTCAGCTGATGGAGACTTTTGAGGTGGAGGTTCCTGTTTATTAGTGTATTTCAATGTTTGTGCACACTTTATCCGTCCATATGTCTGTCTATATCATCAGGTATTTTCTTCAACTGCAACTGCACATGTACGCTAAAAGAAAACATGTCACACTGTAACTACTTCTATAACCGTTTATAGCAACCCCTGAGGGTGGAGAAAGAGGAAAAAAACTACTTCAGTTTTCAAGATATTTTTTTTTTCGTTTTTAGGAGGCAAAGTCCTCTTTAGGCCTTCATACAGTTTAAAACAACTCCTCAAGTGATTTGTTATATTGCCTGAAAAGGAATAGGTCAGCGTGCTCCATTCTTCTGACACTCCTAACTACAGGGAAGCCAGAGGCAGATTGCACAGTCTTTTTGGAGCCTCTTCAGTTAAAGAACAGATATGTAAGGATGGAAGGTTAAGGATGGGAATGGAAACAAGATATTGGTCAGAAGGTAACCTTCCTTTATGATGTCATGCTGTCCACACCAAAGGGGAGTGTAGACAGAGTAGAGGTAGACCATTCAAAATATTTAAAAGTTGCTTAAAAAAAGATTTTAAAAACTAAAAATTCAAAACTAAAAAAATTCAATATTGATTAAAAACCATTAAAAAAAATTCAAAAATCTTTTTGACATTTTTTTAAATTCTTTGAACCTATTTTTAATTTTTTTAAATCTGTTTTAGTCTTCCCATCCTTTTTGAATCATTTTAATCTTTTTTTAACTTCATCCTGTGTGTTATATTTTGTAATAGAGAAATGAACATACAAAATGGTAAATTTCAGAATTAAATTGACAGAACCCTCATATTTTAAAAAAAATTGAACATTGGTACAAAAAGATTCAAAAAGATTTTAAAAGAATTAAAAAATTTAAAGTAAAAATTCAATATTGATTCAAAAGATTAAAAAAAATTTCAATTTTTTTAAAATTATTTGAACCTTTATTTAATTTTTTTAAATCTCTAATATTTTTGGATCCTTTTGAATCTTTTTTAATTATTCTGTGTTTTATATTTAGATTAAAATATACAGGGTGTCCCATTTAAATTTAAAAAATGAGGTTTGGTCCGATAACTTTTCATTCGTCAGCAAGCATTATAAAGAAACTTGGGACATTTTTCTATATCTTTCAATTAAGAAAAAAGATACTACATCTAAGACTGTGATTGATCTCGAATTTCAACTGTAGGCTTGCATTTTTCGCCCGTCCCAGGGGTGGGATCTTGCTAACAAAACTCGTAGGTGTTCGATCACGTGCCATTTTTCAATTTCAAATTTAAACAGGATCTCATTAGCTTTTGGAGGAAATATCCCTTCAGATGACCATTTTTAAACGTTGCTGAGACGATTTTAGTTCTACTCTAGTGTGAAGTTGGATGGAACCTAGGAACTAAGTAAGTACACTATATAACCCATTACTTAAATCCATACTGTATGCATGTATGGTTTTCCCTGAGGGTTTTTCCCTGAGGGTTTTTCCCCTCAGTTTGTCAAAGTATTGAAGCACTTTAAAGTGTTATTATTATTACCTTAGGTAGGTATGTAAATTCCAAGTAAGAATTGTAAATTCTCAGAAGGGTCTGTAAATTGCTAGGTAGAACTGTAAATTTCCATAGAGATCTATAAATTCGTAGATAGATCTATAAATTCCTAGATGGATCTGCAAAAAAAGTAACTTGCATAAATCATACAATAAATTTAGGTGAAGCTTTCTTAAAAATTATTTTCCAGCTATGGCTTTCACAAAAGTCACTGTGCAGAAGCATTAGATTACACCTCCGGTGATTTAGAGTCTGCTTTATATTTACTGTACACTAAGTACATGAGCATCTCACAACCACACACCAGTAAATTCTCAGAATCTGAACTCATCGAACAACGACGTGACGAAAAGAGCGTCTTAGAATCGATATATGAGTCTGCATTTACTGAAAAAATTGTAAATGCAGTATGGACTATTAAATTAAATCTAAACTATTTGGTAACAAAGTTTCACCCTAAAAGGCATTTAAATCAATCGCATTCCGGCAGTCAAAGGCGAAAAGATTTGTGTAGAAATTTCGCAAGTGGGCATTGTAAATTTGGTACTAAATGTAAGTACTTCCATAAAGTACAAGAAGAACCACGAAACCCGCACTTAGACGATTATACTTTTGAATTAGAAATACGTTTCGGCACGGAGTCGAGGTACCCGTATGAGCCTCCTTTGTTATTTCTAAAGACAAATTTCTTATTACCCGAGCTGATGAATTTACACATTTGCAAGAGGCTCGCAGAGGAAGCTCACGATTTAGCTCAAAACGGTATACCCAGTATTTACTCCATTGTTGAATTATTGAAGAACGAAGATGTCATGACAGAATACATCAACACTAGTAAAATTTCGTTTTTGTTACCTGCCGAGAAATTATTTCCTACTTCTGATATCAAAGAACGGGTAGTTACAGATAAATATTACAAGAAAGGGAGCACAAACAGTGATAACAAAAAGCAGTCCAGCCATGCGGAAATTCTATCCGAAGACACGAAAATATTTAATCGATTTTTGACAAAAATGAATGATAGCTCCTATCAACGCATGGCGGAGGTGCGAAAGAAGTTACCCGCGTGGAATTTGCGCAAAGAAATCGTAAATACTGTACAATCTTCACCCGTGACTGTTATTAGTGGCGAGACTGGTTGTGGTAAAAGTACTCAAGTTCCTCAGTTCTTATTAGATGATTGGTTGGATAATTATAAGTCCAATAAAACTCACATTGAAATCATATGTACTCAACCTCGTCGCATTTCGGCAATAGGAGTTGCTGAAAGAGTGGCAGATGAGAGAGCAGAACGGATTGGTAACACTGTCGGGTACCAGATTAGATTGGAGAGTAAGATCTCGTCGAGTACACGACTTACGTTTTGCACTACAGGTGTTCTGCTAAGGCGATTAGAAAGTGATCCTGAGTTATCTACTGTTTCGCATATTATTGTGGATGAAGTGCATGAAAGAAGTGAAGACAGGTGGGTACTTATTACTAGGAGTACATTCATACTAATTGAGCTATTATCAAACTGTTCTTTTAAGAACAAGGAAACTCTGATCTAAACTGTAAAAACGTAATTGGAAGTGAGTAATTCTGGTGCTAGTTGCAATTTTACTTAAATGGTATTTTGCTCTTGGTTATCAAATTCTTTGGGATTAGGTGGTCGTGGAAATTATAATTTCCTCTTCACAATTTGGGAATTATTCTTGTTCTTTCATTTCTTCAGCGCACAGGTCTCATCTACTGATGATGTGCTTGCACCACTAACGTACTTTTAGAGGATATTCATGCAGGTACTGGTACTTCTTAGAATTTTGTAATACAGGAGAACTCCAATCGTCCGTGCTCCACGGGACCAGACGAAGCACATATTTCTTGCATATGAACATATTCTATACATACGTTGCTGTGTGCAATGGTCTAGGTACTGGGTCGCTCAATGGATTCGAATAATCACACAATTGATTGACAGTGACAAAAATGTATTCTAAAACACATGAAATGAAAAATTAAAAGCTTTCAAAGCTTCTTGGACAAATTACCCCACACGCAGGCGTTACACAACTAAAACAAGAAAATATGAAAATCTCAATTTTTTTTCTTTTTTAATAATCCTCACAATCTCGTTGTACAAAGGTTTGTGTTAAGGCGCACTTAACTCTACACACAACCGCTGACAGCTGCTAAACTTAATAAACGAAAATTAGTAAAATCCAAAATAACATAAATTATAATGGTATCTAATTTATGAACACGGTAATAATACTTTACAAAAAAAAGCGGTAGTATTCGGTGGTCAGTACGGATTTGCCCAGGCGACACCAGAAGATTTACAATCGAAGTTCAGGGATCGGCGTGCGGTTACGTCCAGGGAAACAACTAAAATAAATTTTCTAGCGGGCCGGTGCACTCGGGTGTTAACGTCCAAAAATTCAATCTGTAATTAATTTCCAGGACCCGGGCGTCTTAAAAATCTGCGACATATTGCAAAATCTATGATCTATATTTTATTTATCAAGTGCGCTTTTGACTATAGGTACAATGAATCAGACGAGGTTTTCTGCAACACAATTACCTAATTTACGGTTAATTATACTCAACTAAATGGCCGGGCTGAAATTTGGTAGTTAAATATACCCATGTTACATGAAATTTGGAAAAAGAGCGATATTGAAATAAACTGCACGTTCTTGCTCGTTTTCGCTTAACATTGGGAAATTAAACTTGGTTGCCAATGAATGAAGTTAACTGAAATCATAAAATATCCCCATGCCGAGGGCGGTCGGATGCTACAAAAATAATTTACATATCTCTACAGGGACAAGTAGAAACTTCCCAATTATATTCGGCAGCTGGTTTTCCTTATCAGCGATTAAAACGACTCTAAAAATTGAAACATTACTTTTATCTTCTATTTCTCATTCCTATAAAAGAAATAAATAAATCTGGAAGCTTCAGTTTCTTACTAACGAAGCGCCAAATATACAGTGTGTCCCAGATCGCGTGGGATTCCATGGGTAACTTTGTTATTATAAAAGATAGAGAATTGGTTAAATGGGCAATGTTTTGCAGTTTTGGATGCTTATTTAAAATTTCCTTATGGAAATTCAAAATGTCGCATAGGTTCGACGTAAATTCATAAAAACTAAAATTGGTCATTTCCTTGAATGTCTTATATCATCGAAAGTATAAGAGATATAAAAAAAGTTTTATATAAAAGTGACTGTCTTTGATACGCTTAATTTAGAATTGATGTAAAAAAAATTCAAGATGGCTACTTTTGAGGAACATTTACCAACTTTCTAAAGTTAAATAGGCGCTATATGAGATTTTTAGATTACTTAATAGATTTTTTAATTCTCTTTTCAACGAGCCATCATAACATAAGATTGAAAATAAGATACCAGTTATATCAACGGTTTTTGTATTTTAATCCAGTAGGCTGTGATGAATTAAAAAAAAACAAAACAAAATCTATTCGAGCCAACAAAACAATGAAAATAATTACATCAGATGTTTAAAAAATCAGGGGCGCACTCATGAGAGGGGGGTTTGGGCATTACAACTCCCTCCAAAATTTTATATAAGTAGGCCTAGAAAAATTTTGATTTTTATAACATCACTTATTGACTATCTTATTATCCATACTTACATACCTACAAATGGTGGTATAACAACAAACTATCCCCTCGAAAAAATGTCATGCCATTATCCAGTTAAACACATTTCAAGACACTTTGCTTTATCTTACCATTGATGCATTGTCCCAGGTCACATTTTATAGGTCAGTAGGTGGTTTATCCGCAAGAATATCGAAACTAACAGTTTTACCAGTCCGAGTATATGGACAGATGAATCTTTTTCTAACTGCGGAGTGTTCAAATCGACATAATGAACTCGTCACAGGAAAACCTACATGATGTAGTTTCACGCCGAAATCAAGTAATATTTTTTTAAATTAATGTATTTTATGGCATAATGGGAAGTCATGTAATTAGACCGGTAATCTTCGTTGGATCTTTAACTGCTCACCATGATTTACAAATTCTCCAATAAACTTCCTTAAAGGATTTTTCTCGACAACGTATGTTTCGAAGAAAGGATTGGATTATGCTACCTACCAACAAGCTGGCTGCTCAGGTCACAATTCACGAATTATGTACAGTACATTAAATTATAAAAGTTATTACTTAATTAAAAAGTAAAAGTAAAGTGGAAGTAGCTACCACTACAATAATAATAATAATCATCAATGGCAACACGTTGCCTAAACTAAACTGTCTTGAAGTGTGTTTCACTAATAATGGCCAGTATTTTAAACATCTGGTGTAATTATTTTCATTGTTTTGTTGCCTCGAATAGATTTTGTTTTGTTTTTTTTATTCGTCACAGACTACTTGATTAAAATACAAAAACCGTTAATATAATTGGTATCTTATTTTCAATCTTATGTTATGATGGCTGGTTGAAAAGAGAATTAAAAAATCTATCAAGTAATCTAAAAATCCAATATGGCGCCCATTTAACTTTAGGAAGTTGGTAAATGTTCCTCAAAAGTGGCCTTCTTAAATTTTTTTTGACATCAATTCTAAACTAAGCGTATCAAAAACAGTCACTTTTATATAAAACTTTTTTTTATATCTCTTATACTTTCGATGATACAAGACATTCAAGGAAATGACTAATTTTAGTTTTTTTGAATTTACGTCGAACCTATGCGACATTTTGAATTTCCATAAGGGAATTTTAAATAAGCATCCAAAACTGCAAAACATTGCCCATTTAACCAATTCTCTATCTTTAATAATAACAAAGGTACCCATGCAATCCCACGCGATCTGGGACACCCTGTATACTGGGTGGTCATTAAAGCTGGTGGTTTCCATAAGGGCGTTCATGAAAACGTGTTTAATTCCTGATACGAAAACGGGTGCTTTGCTACAGACTTACTTCGAAAACTTCAACACATTTGGACACTTAATTTGTGAAGAGTTTCTGAAACAATATTAATTAATTAGACACCACACAAACATATCCGTTAAGCTGGTCTTGCCTCACGCCTTTCCCTTGAATGCGAATCGTGCACTCGTCCCATTTACCCGTGAAACCGTAACATCGAATGGAGCGTCTGATTTCGTTTAAATTTAAATTAAGAAATGTCATATATCAACAATTTGAGTCAGCTAGCACAGAGAGCATTTTTGACTCTCAAAAATGACTTTCACTAACTGTCGGCTGTTCGGGCGCCTTTTAAACTTTTTATAAATTGATTAAAATCTCGCCAAAGTAATATTGTAGACCTTTCAGGTTTTCAGAATTACATTCGTACTATCGTGCTATTCCTGCATCGCTTAGTATGAAAGCTGAAAGACACTCCTGAAATTGATAACGAATTTCCCTTAAATGGTTCCTTTTATAAATCGATCGAGATCTCTCTAACCTTCGGCGTTTCAGCATTAGATATGTACAATCATTGAATAAAAACACTATAAGAAGCCTAACCCCGTGGAAATAAAGCGCGACAGAGTTTGAACTGAGAATATAATGGGAACACTGTCAATAGAGTCGATTCTTGAACTGAGAAGAATGAGAATTTGCTTTCCTCCTATTTACCGCAAAGAGAGTTCGGTGGTCACAACCAATGCGGGTGCAAGGGGATTTGTGAGATTTGTCGCGCTTTCTTCCATAAGCGTTAGGCTTCTTATAGTGTTTTTATTCAATGGTACAATTGAGTTAGTCTTGTATCGCTTGGCCTGAAACCTACTGATCTGCCACATCAAAAATGCGATGGCGCATCAGAGACTTTTTTTAACTTGTTTATTTACCAATCAATATTTATGCAAATTTAACCCATTTGTAGACCGAATAGGATATCTGAAATAGTGTTTCAATCTTCTGTGTTTGCGATATTTTTTCGTATCTAACTTTTTTAGAGGGGTCCGCTTTGGTTACACGTATACTGATGTTGACGTTTCCTTGCGTTTACTACCTGTTTCACCCCTCTTTTCGCTTCTATTGCGCTTCTTTCTCGTTTCCTCTCTCTATTCGCATTTCCTTTATACTCGATCTCGGCGCAGGCGCCCTTTACGCGTTCTTCCCACTTGATTCGCGCCATTTTTCATCTACACCATCTTTACATTTACCTCTTGTCTGCTTCTCACTCCCCATTCACGTCCCCATTCGTCGACTATTTCGCGCTATTTTCTCACCTTATTTTGCTGTTTTTTGCTTTGCTCACGCCTTCTTCGTTTACGCAACTTTTGTGAAGTCTTCAATGAAGATTAGGATATTCTGACCCAACTGTTGCGCAAATGGTTGGACCAGCTGGGCGAAGACCTGACTTGATCAGCTTTCTCAGTTGACCCTCGATACAAAGAGCCAACTTGACCAGCAAGCGAGAAAAATTTTTTATTTCATGGGGAAGAACTAAATTTGATGTCATCTCTCTTTGGTTGAACTTACGTTGGTAGAGCAAAATATTTATCCACAAATTTCGTTAGAAATCACAAAACCCTTTGTTTTCATCGTAGAAACTAAATTTTATGCAAAAAAAAACAGAAAATTGTGTAATGAATAATAAAAAGCAATGTTATTTGTATCATTGGTTACGTCACCCCGCCCTAGTATTAGTAAACTCCTGATTTTAACATTCCCTTTTCTTTCAGCGATTTTTTGTTACTTATCTTACGGGATTTACTAAAAATCCGAACTGATTTGAAGGTAATTCTAATGAGCGCTACTTTAAAATCCACACTATTTTCAAACTATTTTGGTTCAGTGCCTGTCCTCGAAATACCAGGCCGAACATTTCCCGTCGAACAATTCTTTCTAGAAGATATATTAGAAACTACCGGCTTTATACTCGAAGAGAATACTCAGTATACACGAAAAATGAAAACCGGCTACCAACTCGGCGACGAATTAGAAGAGCAATTGGAATTATGTGCGGTTTCACAGTGCCCAACGCCCAAAGACGAAATTAAAGATGAGAAACTGACAATTACGCAAATGCTAGTGCGTTATAAGGGTTAGTCTTTGTTTAAGTACTTTGAAATGGTGGAACCGCTTTGTTTCAGAATATAGCGTTAAGACAGTGAAGAATTTGTTCCTGATGGATTGTGAAAAAATTAATCTGGACTTGATCGAAGCTATCCTGCTGTGGATTGTTTCTGGGGATCACGAGTATCCACGTGAAGGGTCCATTTTGGTATTTCTGCCGGGGATTGCTGAAATTACTTCTTTATTTGATCAGTTATGTGACCATTCCGAGTTTTCGCCAAGGCGGGGGAAGTATATATTGCTTCCACTTCACTCTTCGCTGACGAGTGACGAGCAAGCTGCAATTTTTAAGTGAGTAGGTTTGCATCTTAAATTGCCGTTAATTTATGGTTTTTATTTTAGAAAGCCGAAACCGGGGGTGAGGAAGATTGTACTATCAACAAATTTGGCCGAAACGTCTGTTACCATTGATGACTGCGTCTTTGTCATTGATTCTGGTAAAATGAAGGAAAAGCGATTTGACTCCAATCGCAACATGGAAAGTTTGGACACAGTTTGGGTTACAAAGGCAAACGCGTTACAGCGTAAAGGTCGTGCCGGGCGTGTAATGCCTGGCGTTTGTATACACTTGTTCACCGGACACCGATTTAAGCATAACATTCCGTCACAGCCAATTGCAGAAATACACAGAATTCCTCTAGAACAACTTTTACTCCACATTAAGATTCTTCCAAATTTTGCAGGTCGCTCCTTGCATGATGTGTTGGGTAGGTTCAAGTTTAATCAAATTGTATTGACCTAATCGCGTTAATGTTACAGATTCAACAATTGAGCCGCCTGTTAAAGAAAATATTGATTCGTCTATCGTACGGTTGCAAGATGTAGGTGCTTTCGATAAAGACAATAATTTAACGCCGTTAGGACAACATTTGGCTACATTACCAGTCGACGTACGAATTGGGAAGTTAATGTTATATGGGGCGATATTTTCGTGCGTTGACGCAGCTTTAACGATGGCAGCCGCTCTCAGTTACAAAAGTCCATTCACTTCGCCATTTGGAAAAAAAGAGCAAGCGATGGCGAAGAAGAAGGAATTCTCTGTCGCTAACAGTGATCACTTGACCGTTTTACGGGCGTATAAGGTAAATACTTCTGTGATTTTGGATTGAGCAAAACTACGGTCCTAATTCCGCAGAAATTTCCATTTTGTAAAAAACAAAATTTTTTTTAATTTTTTTTTTTATTATTTATTGACTCGTAATGATAGTACTTGACCATTTATTTATGTAAAGGTAAACAATGTTCATCCCTTGCTAATGCTCAAAAGAAGTTTCTTGGTTTCTTGTAACATGAATTCAACAGGATGCCTTGTGGACCTTGCAATTTTCCAGCAATTTTTAAATTATAAGTATTGCATTCAATGGCTAAGGAACATAGTGTTTATTTGGATTATGATAAGTAAACAGTTGAAGTGGTATAAAGCATTATTTTTTTAGAAATGGCAAGATGTAAATTCCAAAAGTTACATAGGCGGAAAAAATTTCGCCAACGAAAACTACCTATCCGTAAGGACATTGGAGATGCTAGCCGATATTAAGTATCAACTTTTAGAGCTTCTAGTCAGTATTGGATTCGTTTCCATAAACCTTCGCGCCCATCGTCATCGCACCGGCTATGACGAAATCTTCAAAATAACAGGACTTGAGGTAGCGATAGTTTTGTGCCTTTAAATTATCCTTGTAATCGTGCTGTTGCAGTTTAACAAAAACGGCGATAATATCCGTTTGTTAATGTCAATCCTGTGTACCGCGCTGTATCCAAATATTGTAAAGGTCCTCACCCCTCAAACAGTATTTTTCCGAAGTGCTGCGGGGGCGGTACCTGTCGAACGAGAGGCGAAAGAGCTACGCTTTAAAACGAAGAAAGAGGAGGTGGGATAATAATTGTATTTTAATTACTAATAAAAATTTGTAGGTATTTCTCCACCCTAGTTCTGTTAATTTTACAGTTACCAATTTCCATTCCCCTTACCTAGTCTATCAAGAGAAAGTGCGAACCAGCAGGATATTTATAAGGGATTGCTCGATGGTACCCGTCTTGCCACTGGTCTTATTTTCAGGTTCGGATGTGAATATATCTGTTAATGGCGGCACTACATACATTGTTTTGTCTGATGGTTGGATTAGATTTCACGTTGAAAAGCATCAAGTAAGTTCACGTTTATGTGACCGTTATTTTCAATTTTCTTTTAGATTGCCGAGATGATTAAAGCCATTCGAACTGAACTTTTGAGTTTACTTGAAGAGAAAATCAGAGATCCGCTTTTGAACTTGGTACATAGTGAAAGGGGAGAAAGGATTATCAATACTATTGTTCAAATTGCAACATGTGATTAACAAATTTTCTTATTTTAGTAATTTATTTGTGTATATTATCAATGTAATTGTGCTTTTGTTATGGAGATCTAAACATATGTTGGGGTGGGTATACTGGAGATCTAAATGGATATGTGATTCTTACCTGCCTTGAAAATAAAAAGTTGTTATTTTTCTACTTATTTATTTTACCTATCTCTTTAGCATACGTCTATATTGCGGTGTGCACTGATCCGTAGGCCAGAAAGACCGTACACAAAACACCAAAACAAAACCTAGCTAGCTCTTTACCCAGTACAGAGGAGAGATTCGACTCTGCTCTCAGTTAAACTGTTAACTTGTAACAGATAGTGGGTCAACTCAAATACCTTAAAACTCCAAACTGAACTGCAAAATTTTGAATAATTAAAATGCTTTGGCAAGCATCCAATAAAAACACAGGCAAATTAGAAATTAAGTCGTTGTGAATGAAATGCACGGAAATTAATGTGAAAATTAAGTACTTAGTCTTTAAGACAAAAGAAAATAGTATAAAAAATACAATTACTTAGGTAAGTACCTAGGTATATTATTAGTCCGGGAATTGAAATCCAATTTAAAAGGTATCTTTACACAGCTCACTCACTTAAATTTCGCAATTCTCACAAAACACAACACAGACGCAATCGGCCAAAATGTGGTATCATCTCTCTTGGGGTACCTAACGACTTTCACACATAAATCCAAATCCTTTTTGTTTCCTAATAACGCACAATGCCAACAAAAATAGAGGTAGATTATTTTTCTAAATCAATTTGCTATTAGTTTAGACATTAAGATAAATCCAAACTCAAATTCCCGGAACTTCTCTACGTTTAAATAGTGTTAACAAGGACAACCTTGACCGCTTTCTCGTATAACACAACACAAAAAGGAGACCGCTCCTGTCCATCTTAATTAAGATTCTTGAAAATTTCATCCCACCGGACGAAATAACACAGCTATATTATATCCAATGGATAAAATCTCAGCAGTGAGACCAAAAAGGTGTATTAGGTACCTAAGCATGGTCAATAGGATTGCTTTAACAAATCATGGCAATACATAAGATCTGCGAGTTTATCCAAAATTGGGGTAGGTACAACCAGTACTGGACATTCTTTAAGATCATACAACAGCACGTTTATTTTGGCTGTGTTTTCTATGGGCTATAGAGGAATCGGGCATTTTTAATCATGTGCATAAACTACCTATTCTTTATGTAGGTAACTATCGGATTTCTAAAAAAATGTTATTTCTCAACCAGAGATTCACAAGGAAGGTTTTTTGGATGCGCCTCGTTGTGTAAAATAAAAAGAGGTGAATGAATTGCTGGTTAGATGTTGAAGCAAATCATGGTCGATGCGGTGTAAAAAAGAGACGGAAATTCTTGGCCTAGCCCATTACATTTCTGCTCTTGTATCTTATTCTGAAGTTTTCAAATTAGAGAAAAGATGAGCAATGAAACATTTACCTATTATCATACTTTAAAGAAAACAAGAAAAATCCGAATACTTGCGAAGAATATGTCAGAATAACTAGGTATATAATAATTTGTTAATTACGTTTTTTCTGATATTTTGAACAGATCCAAAAACACTTTCTCATTGCCAGTTTTTGAGCTCTACAAGACAGCGCTACTGAGAGATTTTCAATACGACGTGTCGTTTCGGGGAAATCATCATCAATTTTTATATGACCCGTAAAAAAAGTACTTAGGTTAGGTATTGTATTTTCATTGGTATTGAGTAGCAATTTTTATTACGAATACAACGATGTACGGCACAAAAAAGTTGGCAACTCTGTTGGTTTCAAATAGGATGGTGCATCCGGCGCATTCACATCCTAATCTTGTGAGAATACCTATCGGCAAAGAGTATATACTCTTTGCTAACGGGCAAAATTGTCTGGTACATATTCTCGTACGTACAGGGTGCTGTGCGCGGGTGCGCCATCCTGTTGAAACCAACAATTTCCACCTTTTCCTTTTCTTGTTTGTGCCATACATTGTTGTGTTCGTAAGAAAAACTGTTACCCTATTTATTTATGTATTTATTTACTTATTATCCCTCCCTTGTTAAGAAAAACCCATATTTTTTAATTCCATTTTCAAGGTACCTACGTGTCTGTCATAAATTTACCTTCATGAATATACTAATGTTCCAGAGACCACTTATCCAACGGTCCACTTTAAACACGACAATCACGGGGATAATAACCCTAATTTGGCATTAAATAATCAAGTTACTGTTGTAAATTCGTGTATGGTTGTTTGCCTATTATAACCATTTATTCCGTGCATTTGATCCGAATCGGATCAGCCGTTTAGCCGGAAATGAAAGAACAGACAGACAGAGAGACCAACAAACCGGCAGACCGATCGACATCATCGAGCTTTTGTTTGATTCGGATTCCTGGTGAGTGTGACAGTGGGGGGCATTTTTTACCCAATGCAATTATAGGTGTACCTACGTGCGGGTGCCGGGTGGTAAAAATTCCTTGTATGCGGAAAGCTCAATTAAGTGCCTGTGATCCATTCTAATTTCATTGCACGTTGTGGGTGGTGGATCAATGAATGAGTATCGTGTTTACGCCAAAAATTTTCAATTATTGCAATACTGATTTGAATAGCGATAAGATAACGCCGAAGATACATCTCAAGCACTACAGATAATTCAACCACGCTTGGTGGTTCCTTATCTTGTTTATATGAATTAGCGCTTTTATTTCTTGACCTTTCTATACCATATGCTCGAAACGTGCGGAATGATGGCTTAGAATTGCATTATTGGTATAGGTAGTAATTTTTTCAAATTTTATTGATTTGTGTGGGCTTTTTCCCAAAATCCATTTGGAATTTTGCAACTGTATAAGGATAACTTATTTTTAAGTACCGATAAGATACCAAATATCCTCTACATTTGTTGTGTGATTGTTTTGTTTATTTGTATTGCAAATGACGCTATGTTTGCTATGAAGAATAAATTGGAGAATGCATTTTTGACCGCAATTTTGTCTAAATTTGAATGAAACTTAGGTAACAATTTAAGCTATAATGTTTTCGTAAGCAATTTCCAAAACCAGTTACCTGATAGCACCTAATCTAATCCTCCAGGTATAAATAATCATGCCCTGCGTTCTGCGGTGTAAGTATCTAATTTTCGCTGGTAATTATATAATCGACATGATGTATTTTAACATTTTATTAGTGACCGTTACACTATTCTCATGGAATAAATTTCCTTCATCTGAGGGTAAGTACATTTACTTTTAGGCATTATTTGTTGCAAATTTTTATTTAATCGTAGGTTTAACATGCAAAAATTGCGATGACAGCACAGCTGATTGTCGAAGTGGAAGCATTAGTAACGAAAAACCATGTACGTCGTATGGCCAGTATGAAATGTCCTGCGTCTCGTTGGAAAAGCCAAACAGTAAGTAACCCGGATGAGGTGTTAATGATATTTACCTAGGTACTATTCAAAATTATATTTAGATGTCGTGTTAAGAGGGTGTGCTGTTAAAAATTCGACAAGGTCGGTATGTCACATATTACAACAACGCGATGCAACATACAGAAATTGCAAGGAATGTGATTATCCTAATATGTGTAATTCACATAATCACGGCAGCTAAAAATATTCTCCTGATTGGACTGTTGGGACTAGTGTTGCCAGGTCCGATTTGTTTTAAATCGGGGCAGAAGGTTGAACAAATCGGGATTTACGGTTTTCAATCGGGGCAAACAAAAACAAGTAAAAAGGTTTGCGCCCTAATGGGAGTAACGCGCATTTTGCGTCATGTCTTTGTTTTGCACTGCTGGCCTTCACTAATTCTTTAACTTTACACAATAAAGTTGATCCATGTCAAAGATTTATTGATTTATCGGGACCTTAAGTGTCCGGATTAGGTGCAAATAGGGACGGGTCCCAAGACCCCTGAAAATCGGGACATCTGGCAACACTAGTTGTATGACTAAGATTCTTACCCTACATAATGTATTTTGAGCTAATATCAGCTAAATAAAACTATTAACAACATACTTTTGAGGTCTTTTTTTAAATGATTTAGTACCGAACTTTTAATATAGTACCTACAATCATAGTGTAAATGTTAAATACATGAAGAATTCATTGGGAAATAGGAAATCTCATTCATTGGTCGGTGTTTTGATCCAGCAGCTGCCCAAAACATTAATACATTAGTGGATATCCAGGTATAAAATGAAAACGATTATTTTAATTTTATTCAGCTTGACTGCATGTAAGAGTTTGAAACCAAGTTTGTATCTATCCGGCAGAAATGTTTCCCATGCTAATACTACGACGCGACGGTTACATAGTCTCAATGAATAAAATTCGTAAAATGCGTCCAGTGAGGGGCCAAAGGTAATTTCAGATCCGCGTCTAGCACAGACTAAGAGATTTTCCTCGATTTTAATTTAAGTGATAGATTCCGCTCAATTTCATGTGTGAGTGTGAGTGTGATCATCACCAATTTCTTGTAGTTATAATACGAGTTATAATACTTCCAAACCCCTTCAGGGAAATTGGCAATTTGTTAATTAGTAATATAAATGCCAAGGTTTCGATTTATTGTACTAACATAAATCCTTATCAATGTCTAGAAAAGGACAATTATTGTAACATATTAACTTAAATTAAATACTTACTATATAATCTTAATTATAATATAGGTTACAATCTAATGTATTTATAAGCGAGTTGTGGTGGCGTGGTGACGGAACGGACCGTGTATATTCTTTGTCTTCCGGCGGCGTCGATGTCGATATTTTGGGAGCTTACCTTAATATTTTTTACTTCCAGCTAGCTCAGTTATACAATGGGTAAGTAACAGGAAATAATTAAGTGAATTTTTGATTTCCGTAGGTAAATGTTTAATTACGCAAATAATATTCAAAATTTGGGGTAAGATATTATGTACTACTACAATTAGACTCCAATATGCCTGGGAGGGATTACGCAATTTTCATAATTCAGTGTACTTTGAAAATTTAGACTCTTTGTGTCCCTGTGAGAAAAATTCATGATAGTGATAATTATTCCAATCGCAATAATGATTACATTAATTTGAAGGTTAGAGTCTACGGACTACGATGGTAGGGATGATCAGTTATGTCCCAAAATGTATATATAGGCTTAATAACCCCCCCCCCCCAAATGTCAAATGTAAAATTTTAATCCCCTACGGCGAATCGTAAGGGTATAGGGGTGGGGGGTTGAAAAATTTTTTTTTGCGAAGAAAGCGTCGTCATATTTTTTTATGTCATCTTGTACACGTGTGCAAAATTTCACATTCCCACGAGTATTTTTTTATTTTTCCCAATAGGGGACTTGGAAATAACCGAGGAAAAAATCTTCGCGGGAAGTTTTAACTAGATGTGGGGTCTCGAATATTTCCAGCCTGCCCACATACCTGAAAATTCATCCGCGGAAGGTGGATAGCGAGCGATCTCCAGACTTTACACAACTGGACTTCTATTCTGATGGGGATACGTGAAATGAAAGGAACTGTATGCAAAGAAGTTTAAATAACAAAAGAGAATATGAAAATGCGCATTCGTAATACTTTCGCACCCATAACGCCAACGGCGCTTCGTCGTGTCGAAGAATGATTTTCATCGACAAAATGTTTGGTCTTGAACATTTATTGAAATATCTAATCGTTATTTTTCTCTTATTTTTATTTAAACTTTATGGTTTTTGAGTGATTTCTTTTTTAACACAAAAGAAGTTTAACCTGAGCCGTTCGTCGCATGTTAGTACATTTCATGATTAAAACTCTGAAGAATTCCGCTTTCCTGCGACGACACTATTGGAAATTCTCCACTCTGATATTTGCACGTGAGAAACAATGATGACGCAATCTCTTCCGCGCTGCGTAATGCGATTAACCGGTAATAGGTCGAATATGTACTCCCCGAGTTAAACTTTGGGTACTCTGGCCTTAAACGACACTAGTTTTTCTTTCGCCTTTTTAAAATAACTCGCAATGTTATAAATGGAATTCTAATAGCATGACCGCTTCGTCACAACTTTTAGCGAGCACTGAACTTTTCACTCATATTAATTTTTACTGTCTCCTCCGGTCAAAGTCCATTCCGCTTAATCTAAGTTTAAAACTACAGCAGATTTTACGTTCGTTCACAAAACTTATTTATACTATATAAAGTGGGTTACAACATTTTATTACTTTACTCCCAGGCCAAAAAGCATTTGGTGTAACTAAAGAATTCATACCCATTAGAGTGGTGAACTGAGGCGAGTAACTATTCATTTTCATTAAGGTTGTCAATCATTCCAGCTCGCATCCGCGCATGCTTTCCCATAATTAGGTGTCGTATAATAGTTGTTTATGCATCAAGGGCATTAAGGCGATATTTATGCCGAGGGCGATAGAGTCCGAGGGCCTCCGGCACGAGGGATTGTAAGTCGCCCGAGGGTTAAATATTGAGTAATGCCCGAGGTGCATACAACATTTTATTTTTCATCGTTCCAAAGAATGCATTTCCAATATACAATAATGTCATATGAATGTTGTTTATAATTTAGTGATTTGTAACCTTTAAACGGCGTATTATTTGACAGTTGATCTTGCATTACGTAACCGTGGCGCGCTCTCCGCCCTCTCTCTCAAAAACGGTCCAGTATATAAAAAAAATGTTAAGACAAAAGAAGAAAGAATTTCATTTTCTCCAGTTTTTGTAATAAATGCAAATGGCATTAAAAACATAGCAAACGGGATATTTGTAAAAAACTAATTTTTGTGACCTTTGACCTTCAATATCTAAAGACGCGGACACGAGAATATGAGAGTTTTGAGTCAACCTTCGGAATGCCAAAATAAACATTTTACAAGTTTATAGCTTATTGTCTCATTCCAGATTATACTTATTTTACCTACGTATACCTATATTTGTTATGGCTGGCTGGCTGGCTGGATGTCCGGCTGAGATCTCAGCAATTACAATAGCTAGAGACTTCAAATCTTCACTAAAAGCTTTCTGATGTAGTGTAGATGTGCAGCCTCTAGTCTATTTTGAGTTAGATTACTCATGAGATAGATAATTTTAAACTTCGCTGACTAAAGATCATTCTATGCAATAATTGTTACTTAATTGATCCGTTTATCCAGATTATTTCGAGATTGAGACAGCTTTGATAATAGCACTTGTGTTATTTATAAATTAATAAAAGCACGCAATAGTTATTTTGTATTATTAATCTGTGGTATTAGGGAGAGTACCTAACGATTGTGCGGAGTAACTTAATGCCTTGAAGATAAGATTTTTCGATGACGATATGGTGGAATATGGTGGAATATTCTCCACGTTTTAAAAATATTTTATACAAAATATAAAATATACAAAGCACGGCGCTAAAGTTACCTTTTTAAAAATGCAACTCCCTGTATTTGAATGCATTCTTTAACTCTACGTGTAATTGTACGACTGTTTTGTTAAATGGTTAATATTGTAGTTTTAAAAGATAATTCGATTTATAAGAAAAATTTTTCATTTGCAAGCGTCTGTTTACTGTCAAAATTACTACCTACTTACCTAAATTTTGATTCCAGGTTTTATATCTTTTATCCTCATTGTTACCTCAATGCAATACGTTCCTTAATAACGTGCGGGTGGTAAAAATGAATTAAATTAGTACCATTTCCCACCACAAACGTCAAAATTGACAACCGTGATTACCATGACATCCACGAGTATGGGCACTTGATAATTTTCAATTTTGATTTAGAGTTAAGTATTTTAACTATAATGAGTAAAATATGAGTTCCAATAACGAAAGGTAGTCTAAAGAATATGCGCATTTACTACCAGAATGTGAGGGGACTAAAGTCGAAATTGTCCGAGTTCTTTCTAAATGTCTCCTCAAACTCCTACGATATTGTAGTTTTAACTGAAACGTGGTTAAATGAAGGTATCTTGTCACAGGAATTATTTGATGGTCGATACGTTGTATTCCGAAAAGATAGGAATAAAGACACAACTAATCTTAAGGATGGTGGTGGCGTCTTGGTGGCCATCGATAAACGCTTCCACTTGGAACTTGTCGACATTTCGCTCGAAGAAACCTTACTCGTCAAAATAGGTAAAGGTTCAAAATATTGCATGCACTTGTGCGTTGTTTACTTTCGATCAAATACAAAGATACATAATTACTACAGTGACTTTTACAATATGTTTGACTCGTTGCCGGAACCTGTGAAAGGTAACTTGTTAATTATTGGAGACTTCAATCTTCCAATATTTGGTGCAGAGTATGATTTATTGAAGGGTGACCACCTATGCGTACAACTGAACAACTTTATCAACTTTAACAACTTATCAAGCAAAAATAATGTAATGAACAGTTTTGGCAAATCCCTAGATCTAGTTCTTACTAACATAGTTTCGCTAACTGTAAATCATGTACAAACACCTGATTTATTAGTAAAACTGGATACATATCATCCCGCCTTATTGTTGCAATGTGAGCTTAACATTCCTGTAATTAAAACTAAGTTATTGAGTGACCTTACGTATAATTTTGGTAAAGCGAATTTTGTTGGGGTCTATCATGCGTTAACATCCACAAATTGGTCTGTTCTAAACACATGTGTTGATGTAAATGAGTCTGTTCAAATATTCTACAACATTGTATATAGTATTTTAGATCAATTCTGTCCCAAAATGAAAATTAGATGTGAATCTTCATATCCTGTTTGGTTTTCTGCAGAGCTAATAAGAACAATTCAACATAAACATAAGATGTTTAAAAAATACAAACGTCTATGTCAAATAAATGATCCCGGGTCAGGCAACGTATATCTGCAATTTAGTCATCTAAGATCCGTTGTGAAAAAAGATATCACATCAGCTTATCGGGAATACATAACCGATATTGAAAAAGACATTGGGCGTGATCCAAAACGTTTCTGGGCTCACGTGAAGCATAGCAAAAAACAGACCGATCGAGTGCATCAAATAGAGCATTGTGGCGTACTTGCAACTACCGGTCCAGAAAT